GATATGACATACGAGAATGCCCATGGTCAATAAAAACAAAAACGAAAGTTTCATGTGCTCCCTCTATATTCGTAAGGAACACTTCGATACATCGATGTACAACCATTTCCAACGGTATCGCACACACAAATGCACGATAAAGACGATTACCGATAGTANCAAATGCACGATAAAAACGATTACCGATAGTAGAATAGTATTCAATGTTTTCATTCAAAAATAGACAAAGTACAAGAATATAAAAATGTAATGTTTCATTCGATAAATATAACGTTAATTATAGCCGAAAACGAACCAGAGGCGCAGCAATTGGTCACCTCACAGTAACCGGTTCCGCTATTCTACGAAAGCAGGATATATAGCCCGCGGTTCAAGGGTCAATTCCTTCCATGGAAAATGTTATCATTATTTTTATCCTTTGAACTTTTTTATTGGCTATTGCAATTTGTGCAACACTTGTGGTAACAATTCTCGTTCAATTTTGCTCTTTACTGTACATATGCGTTGCCCTTGTTCATTAACCCGAGAAAGATAACCTACGTCGCAGAGGCGCCTGCGAAGACTGTTGATTTTTGTTAATTTTTCATAGAGGTCTAGTGATTTAAGTTTAGAATTACTTAAAATATAAAAAAATATAATATAAATGCATTTTATTTTTACAATAATGCCAAACCTTTAAAATGACTAGATTAACTGAAATAAATATCCATTGTTAGTATAAAATTGACGCCTTAGAAAAGCATGCGCCTCTGAAGCGTATGGTTATCTTTTACGTACGTTGTCATATGGTTATCTTTCTAGGGTTAACTCTTCAAAATCAAATACGTCTTCGGTATCGCTCGGCTCTAAATTCTCATCATAACAAATCGGCAATTACTTAGTTGCCAACCCAATACATACGAACGCCGAAGATGCCTGCTTAGTAATAGAGGAAGCGTTCGAACGTGACGAAGAAGAAGACTCGGAACTATTGAGAAATTAATGATTGGAAGAAGGTATTGTAGTTAATAACTCGAGGACACTGTAATGAGGTATTCCCCGGCGAATGGAACGAAAAGGAATGCAAGTCTCGATCGCAAGTCTTTAAATGCGCGAGGAACGCGATGCATTACGCAAATGATCGCAACTGGTTGATACGAGGCGGCGAGTACGCGAACCCTTTCCTCCCTATTTCACGCAGAGTGGGCGGCCGTGGTGAACAATGGACGAAAGAATCGTCTGGCTGTAATGCACGAGCGTAGCGGCAGACGGGACTGACAAGTACCGGGCACGCTAATATAGAAGGAACAATGCGACATCGGCGGCCGGTGGAGTTTTCCAGGGCTCTTGAAACAATTAGCGGCACCGTCGTTAATCTACCGCTCGACCCTCGATCGCGGCAATCCCCGACGGACTCGCAGCGATTTAAAAAAGTTCCGAAATCAGACGAATTACCGTGAAACTGATTTCCAGCCCGACTGATACTTGATGCTTCGATCGAGATTGTGATTCAAAATTGCAGTCGAGATATATGGTTGTCGAGATAAATAGTACCGACATGCGTGATAATATGAAACGATACTCTTGATTTTAGAAGTCTGTCATAAGATGGGATATTTCTTTCTTTTTTCTAGAAGTGGACGAACTATATTTGTTTACCACAATTATTTTAACCCCTTGCACTGTGACAACCTGGCAGGCTCGTTATGAAAATTTCGAACATAATCTAATATATTAATCTATTATTTTTATAATAGATATTATAAATATTAATATTTATGTTATTGATATATTAATCATATGATATTATAATATATTTATAATATATTAATCTATTATTTTTATAAAAATAATAGAAATACTTATACGATTTGTAATTGTTAAATCAGTAAGCGATAAAGTTGAACAGAATGTAAAAGGTAATTGAAATCATAATATTCTCACGAGGAAATCAAGTTGGTGTAATGCCTCGGCCCGTGCTCGCATTTGGAAGCGGCTAACGAGTCTTTAACCTGCTAACTAAGTAAATTTAAATTACCCAGCATTTTCATCAAATAATACCTCCGCGTGTATATTTTTTACGGTTCTATTTGTTAAACATATCACTCTTAGCGCGACTTTCTACAGAATCTAGCCATCATATCATGACACAGACAGTGTTAGAACGCAAACAATTACATCGTACAACATATTAAAACGATGTTGAAATAATTCTTGTCTTGCCAAAATTATTCCGTCTGCCCAACTAACCCTCGGACCGCTATTCCGCCTCCCTTGAACTCCCTACGAATTATCCAACTCTATTTAATCTTCCTTAATTAAAAAAAGTCCACTTCGAACGAAGTAATTTTTCACGTTTCTTTATTAAAGCCGGCGCGCGCCGGTGCCATCCGATCAAATCCATCCACATCAGCAGCCACATCAGATCCAACTAGCGCATGCGACGCGAGGATAAATCACGAGTGCTCTTATAAGAGTTCCGCTGACGCTGATAATCCTTTGCATACGGCCCATTCAATCAGATGTAAGAAACGATTGAGGAAGACAAGTCGGCCAGGACCGCCTTGGCTCTAGGTAGCTATCCCCGAGGAACAGATGGTTCGATTTATTACGGACTCGGTCCAAGCAATCAGGATCGATAATTAAACTTCTGAAATTTCGCCCGGCCATCGAAAAGTGCTTGGCAAGCAGGCAGACGCTTCTGGTATCAATTACGGCGACAAAAACTTATTAAGGTCCTCGGATATCGATACTAATATCGATCCCCCGCGGTCGCGATATCCTCGTTATAAGGTCCATTAGATATAAAGTTTCAATTAACGCTTTTAGCGAGCGCGCGACGAACGCTTCGCCGTTGCACGGAACCAGTTTTAGATCGCATCCCGTGCATGGAAATGACCAAACAGTTAATTGCGTCAATGAATCGTAAAGTCGAACAGCTCTCAGAAAGTAACAGAAAACAATCTGTTCGCGGAGAATCGAATTACTGCGACGACGCGTTAAGTGCTCGCTGTCCAACGCAGACGACGTGTCCTTTGTGTTAGGTTCGCTTAGTGAATCTAATTTTCAGTTTCGTTTTTGTTATACAGAACTCTTGTGACTCTGTGTAATAGGCTGCCTGACGAACGGTGTACGTTTTTAAGCATTGTTCGAAGTTTGACAACAGCTTGTAACACGGGATAAATTAGAACGTAGTTAAGATTTCCTGATCGACAAATCNAATATATACATAATATACATATGTCGTATATATATATATACACAACAAATCTGGCAACGTAGCATTACGTACAAATGGCTTGAAAATGTCGCCAGAGTCGATGGCATTGAAACAATATATATATATATATATATTGTTTCAATGCCATCGACTCTGGCGACATTTTCAAGCCATTTGTACGTAATGCTACGTTGCCAGATTTGTTGTGTATATATATATATACGACATATGTATATTATGTATATATTACGTATATTANATATATATATATACGACATATGTATATTATGTATATATTATGTATATTGTGTATATATATATATTTCATGACACGAATTATGTATATATATTCATAATTGAGATATATAATTCGTGTGATGAAATATTTAATACGTTTTCTCATTTTATATTCAATGCTATTTATAGAAATGTATATATTTGGGTTTAAATAACTAATACATATGTGTCTGTTACAATTCATCCCACATATTGTTACTTTTTACACCAGACGGGGGTAATTTTGTAACAATGGTTTTGAGTCTTTTTAAAATGAAGATAAATATCTAAATGTCATACATAATGGCTCCACTTTTTGTTATGAAATATTCGTTGATTGAAAAGAACCTTGTCGAAGAAAAGGCGTGAAAAATTTTCTTGATACAACGTACCTGGTCTCCCCTAACTTCACACATATAGCAACTGTCGAAAAATTGTCGATATTTAAAAATTTAAACTATTACAACTACTCTGAATTGTTGTAATATTTTTAGACGCCTTGGATCTGTTTCATTGCATTACATTCCTCCAACTAATTTTTTCCCATATACAGGGTGTCCCAAAAATGTCTCGTAATCCGGAAATAGCGGGTTCCTTGGATCATTTGAAGCAACTTTTTCCTTTACAAAAATTTTCTCCGATGCACCGTTAACGAGTTATCGACGAAAAACAGTGGCCAATGGGCGGCGAGATTGACCGGCGCTCCGCCCTTGCGGCCAATACTGCGTCGCGCTGCCCATCTGACGCAGCGGCAGTGCTAGGCATGGGCGGAGCGTCAGCCGAGCTCGCCTTTCATTGGTCACTGTTTTTCGTTGATAACTCGTTAACGGTGCATCGGAGAAAATTTTTGTAAAGGAAAAAATTGCTTCGAATGACCTAAGAAACCCGCCACTTTGGGATTGCGAGACTTTTTGGGACACCTTGCATAAAGGTCATGCTCAAGGATCGTTGTATTCGTCTTGGCTTCAGGCCAAGAGCGATGATAATCAAGATATGATTTAAAATGACATAACCTTGAAATCTCAAAAAAATGTGGACTTCAAAATTGTTAAAAACGTTTGCTTTTGCACACCTGTGTTTTCTTCTTACATTGTTCGTATTATAACTAGACTGCAAACTTTTATGCACTTACGATAAAAGTGAGTAGGTCAAGTGCAAAATAGCAAAACCCTTTAAACAATTTAAAAATATTATTATATGACTGTTCGTTGATTGAAATGATTAAAAGAAAAAAATAATAAATATCTACGTAATTGCTGTAACTTGAAATTAATCACGGCAATTTTTATTTCACATAGAAATCTGCAGTTCAATTATCACTAATAAAGAGTTTTAATTTCTATTTTGAGCAATTGGTCCCTATCAACGTGAATGTGCAGAAAAGACGTAAGAAGATGTAGAAACAAACGATGTTTCATACACCGCGTCTATTGGAAATAGCTATTCTCTTTCGCCTGGAGTATTAAACTGTGAATAATTGAGAGACTCATTAGAGGATTGGACGGCAAATCGTGGTCGAACTTACCTTTACCGTGCAGTTGCTGTCTGTTGGTGTCCGCTCGAAGGTTTTCCGCGGTGTGAACCAGCTCGTCCAGCTGCGGCTTTTTCTTCTCCAGCTCCCGTAAAACATTCTACGCAAGCCAGACAGTCGGGGATTAGTGTGGCCACTTAGAGCTTACAGGACGATTTTAAAATCCCCAAACACGCCGCGCTAAAGCATGGAGAAAAACGAGGACTTCGGGGGATTGACGGCGAGAAGAAGAGCAAATCGGCCGCCGTCGCGTCGTTTATCATTTACAATAGCGACCGAGAATCGAAAGTTCGATTTTCACCGGGAAGAGGCTGAAGCAAGTTGCGAACGACAAGCAATCGAAGCTTCCGATGTTCGACAGATGTTGTTGAACAGTTCGACACGCTGTTCGCGCATTCCCCAGCTTCCAAGGAATACAAATGATTAAGCGTTTGATCGTTTTGCTGACCGCTTTTGAATTCGGAACATCGTCATCTACTTAACGTTTTTACTGTCGCACCTTAAAAACTTTATAAAACTGAAGTAGTATATTTAACGCCTTTGCACTCGAATGGTGACTCTGAGGCACCACGAAAATTTGTTACATCGCGTTTCAAGATAATTTTTCTATCAACAAAGTTTAGCTTTAAAAAATTGTTAAGAGTGTAATGGTTGTATTCTGAATGTTTGTTATAACTTCTTAATGAAGCTCTATATGGCCTACGTTTACAGAACATTTTCTTCTTACTTTGCGCCATAGAATATACTGTCAAAGTTTGAACAGAAAACCTGGGATAATCTGTATATATATTAATGTCTGTTTCAATATATTACAAAATAGGATAATTTATAAAAGAAACAAACTTTTTAAAAAATCGAACGAAAGCACATGTAAACACAGGACAAACGTACGACGCACATTTATGATAAGAAAGTTTTCTTGACAAGTTTCGTAACAGCAGTAAACAGAAGAACGATTATTAAATCTCTTGCATTCGTTCTCAGACTCTTAAAAATAGCACGATTCTACATTTGAACACTGTTCCGTATTTGCCAACTTTTTCTAGCCGCTGAATGAAGCGATTTCTATGTCGACAGCAGCTAATAATAGGTCGACGTAAAAATGTGAAGCGTTAATGCCGGCGTTGATAGTTTCGAGAGCTTTGAGCAGCTCGTAACATCAATCGCGGTCATGTTTGTATTCATTCGACGCGTCGGCGGATAAAAAAGTAATAACCAGGAATTCCGAGCAGCAGGCACAAACGTTCCGCGAAAAGCCTCAGGTCGATCACCTGTTTCTGGCTCTCCGGTTGTGGCTGCTTCCCGCAGCGCGGGCCTATCGATCGGCCGGTAGGCATTCTAGAAACCGAGCTACCATTTTCCCAAGCCATTGTTACAGGTACAGGCTGGCTTAGCTTTTTCGAAAGCTCATTAGCATTTTGCGAACGAGATACGCGCGTATTTATTATTCGATCCTGTCGTCGCGTACAATTCAGCACGCCATAAGGTCACGCGAAACCGCGGCCAATTATAACTTCTGCTGCAATATATTCGGTCGAAGACACAATGAAAGGTGTTTAATAAGGCAGCTTCGGCAGATGCGACGCGCTGTTTGAACTGTATCCGTTATACAGGGTGTTGAATGAAAGGGACTCAAGACTCGAAAGATTTATAATACTGAGCGAAAAAGGAGGAAAAAGCTTCGGATCAATATGGGTCCGAAGGTCA